AAATTAGCTGTCTGTATCGGCTCTCAAATCTCTATTGGTGCACCCCTAATTCAAAAAAAAAGAGAGGGTTGTTAACACCTGTGGAATGATGAGCTGGATGGAATCAGGTAGATTATAATGACCCAGGAAGTGAAATGACTCCTTCAGCAGTGCCTGACTAGAAATGCTTCTGCTACTGCCACATAGTTGGTTTTAAACTTTGGGTAGAGCAGGAATCAAAGGGAGGTGGAAGTGCACGAGGGCACTTCCTCCCCCCCCACACTTTGCTCTACCCCTGAAAACAGCTATTTTTTTTAAAGGAAAGCTAGTGGTAGAGTGTTTTCCCAAAGGAATCCTCACTTCTGGAACTCACTACTCAACCTGATGTATAAGGTCTAGATTTTTGTAATCATCCAGATATGCTCCAAATCTCATCTATTGGACATATTTGAGGAGAAGTTATATTGAAGAAAAATGATGCTATGTAGACAGTGGCTATTTTGTAGGGTGATTTGGAAGTTCATAGTAGAATTCAGCTGTAATGAGATGTACATCCCAGTCCAATACCTCAACAGTTACCTGTTGAGACATGTGGAGGCAAACTGTATTTAGCAGGACTGTAAAACCTGAAGTGATTATTTCTGGGGAACACGTACATTTTACTGTGCACTGTAAAGCAGCTAATCCTCACATTCAGCTGCAAAAATATTCTTGGTTCACAACAATCTCCTGTTACCCACTAGAGCATTGGCAGGAAGAAATGCTGTGTGTAATCCAGAATACCTATTACCTAATAAGTTTGAAACTCTACTATGTTATATTGTAAGAAGCACCGTTTGCTTTTTTGCTGCTGCGATGCAGAGGTTGGGAAAGCATTTTTTCATTAGTTAGCAGAAAATGGTTTAATAAAATCAGTAAATCAAGGAAGATAGGATGCGACAGTGTGGTCACCTTCTGTCAAAACGATTATGTTGCAATGCTTGGTAAACAAGTCATTATTCTGTGAATGCAACTTAATGTAACCTCTGGACCATAAATGATCAAAATGATGTAGTAGCAGAGCATATTGATACAAAATTGTGTGACAATCTAGCCTGAATTTCCACAGGTTTGATTTTTTTTCTTTTTCCCTGGGAGCTGGAAAGTACAATAGTCTGCAAATATGCCCTCTAGCAGCTTGGCACTGTCTTTACTGATGTGTCACTGGAAATAAATGATGAAAGAACATGTCTACAGAATGCTAATAATTTTGGGATTGCAGTGACAGGTAAGCACTTGCTAATGAGCTACAGTATTTGCTGTTTTCCTGACTGATGCTGATACAGGGCCAGAAGTGTCAGAAAAGTAAAGATTTGGGAAGGTAAGAAGCGAGTTATAAATGCAGAACAGCTAAAGGCTGGTCTCTATAAGGAAGTTTTACCAGTGTGCTTGTCTACAACTTGACCCATAGGAGTTACCATCCTGGACCGTGACAGATTGCTGACAATGACTATAAAGTTATTTCACCAGCCACCAGCTGATGGAACCAGTCTATAAAAACATAGGCTCATACAACTACAAGGGACTTCCTGCATCAGAAGACCAATCTCCTGCTATCATTTGCAGCCAATTCATGTAATTCCTTTCATAAATTGAAGGAGCATCATCTTAAAACCGTAAATGGTTGAGTGGAGATGGAGGGGAAAACATTCTCAAGCTCCTTGCAGAATCTCACTCTTCTGGGGCCTACAAATCTTCAAATCACCAGCCTAAATGTATTCCTGTCTGGTTTATATCCATTTATAATGTGCTATCATTGTTTAGCTTAAATAATTCTTTTCCCTCCAAATTGTGTTTGCCCTTCTAATGTATTTATAGAGAGCAATTACAGCCCCTCCTAGCAATTGTTTTGCAAGGTTAAAACAATTATGAACCTGATAATTTCCTTTTGAATTCATCCATTTCTCATCTCCCAGACCCTGATTTTGGGTAGCCCATGTTGCATTTTTTTCTGTTTTCCATGTACCATTCTGCATTTATTCTTTCAGAATGTGTTCTAAAGCCTTACATTTTTTTGAGGTTGGATTAAGAAGCTTGTAATTGTCCAGATCAGAGGTTCCCAAACTTTTTCTTATTGCATACCCGCTTGCAGATTTACCAGCTGCCCACCTACCCCTACCAGCATACATTTTATGTTTCAACCCCTTAAATGCCTATTATTATTGTAGTAAAAATTAAATCTGCCATTACACAATTTCTCCCACATATGCCCCAGAGATGTCTTGTGTATCCCCAGGGGTACGTGTACCACAGCTTGGGAACTCCTGGTCTAGATCATATTTTCCCTTAGATATAGATATTACCTTTTGCTGTTCTCTAGTTGTACAGTCTTACCCATGACTCTAGATTTTTTTAAATCCTTGATAACAGACTTGTGATTTCATATGCCAGGGTTTTGTTTGTTTTTCAGATTTCTGGGATAGAAAATTACCCAGACCTGTAGCTTGAGTACACCAAGCTTTTTTAAGCTTGCCTCCATCCCATCCTATATGTAATCACTTTCATTCTTACTTTCTTGTTCCCATTAGCTGTCCTGCCTTTGCCCTCCTGCTCAACAGAGTTGTCTTTATTGAAAAGTGAGACAAAATATTAATTTAATGTCGGGGTTGTACCTAGGTTACTCTCATCTCTACCCCATCCTCACTGCTTAGCGGCCCCAGTTCTTTTTTTGTTCTCTTATTTGTGTTGTTGATGGCCCTTTTGCTATTTTTAATCTTTTTACAAAGTAAAAAGCATGCCTAAAGGGAATGTTCACTTAATTCCTACAATTCCTGGCCTCTGAGATGTACCTTTCCTTGTCGATCAATCCTTTTTTTCTCCTGAAGACACATTGATATCTTGGAACTACATCCACTAAACAGATGGCAATAATTTAATTGTATCGGTTTCTAAATCAATCTGCAATAATTAAATACATGCAAAAAACTGTATAGATAAAGATAAGATACCCCTAGGTACTGCGGAGAGACTTTGTCGCATTCTGCATTGGCCAACAGAGGTTATTTGAGCACATGGGGGAATACCAAACTGTTCTAACCCTAAGGAAAAATGCCATACATATGCTCTCAGTGGGCACTGGGGAAATCCTACACACAGTACCTCGCTGTATTTCTGTTAGCATAACTTTGTGTATAACTTGTACAATCCTAAGTAGGCATTTTGTTAAATGTGTGACAAGTGCTGGTTAAAAAAATAGAACTTATTTTCTATGCAAAATTAAATGCTTGAAATGTTCTTGTCAGCCATTTAGATAGTTGAGGAGTGTGAGGAAGTTCTGTAAAAATAGAGAGGTTTTGCTATTTAATCAATGTAATTTTTTAATTGTGATTAGTTCTAATTTTAGGTATAGATAAAATGCTGTTTTAAATCAAAATCCCAATAAATATGTAATGTAACAATTTATTCTTAAAAATATTTCTATCCTTAAGTAAAAAAATGACATATAATTATCATAAGTTGGCAAATACTGGTATTTGATATATGTATGACTGGCCTGACATTCCTGTTAGGAATGGAAAAGGAGTGTGTCAGTATTTAGCATTGTATGGCAGATGGGAGCAGTCAGCATCTTCACTTCCCACTCAAGCTAAAGCATGCCAGCAGGAAACTGGGAAATAGCTCAGGTGTTGCTAAAAGGAGAGCTGCGTGCAAATAGGGAGCTAGCAACACTAGGAAAAAAGTAGGTGGAACAGGAGGTGTAAGAGAGAGAGGCACACAGGCTGGAATTCACCATTAGGACTGTTCCTGAATTCACTGGCTGCCTATACACATGCTCCTTGGCTTTCTAATTAGAACACAGTGGAGCAGACTTGATTAATCGAGTCTGCTCTACGTTCTAATTAGGGCTCTGTAGTGTCATTGCAGTATCATGTGTATTAAGCCCCATGCATTTTAAAATGGCCACAGGGTACTTTAACTAAACCTCATCGACTGAGCTTTAGATAAAGGGTCCTGTGGCCATTTTTAAACACATGGGGGCTTAATCCATGTGACACTGCAGCATTTTAATTAAAGTAGCTGCCCAGGAGCTGCTCTAATTAAAACACCCCCCTCTCCCACTCTGGAGCACGTGTATAGACCTGTTTCTACTGCAACAACTTATGTCAGCAGATATGCTTTCCCTAATAGTCCCTATAGCCCTGGTTCTGCCATCTATACATATAGGCAGGGCAAACTGGGATGAACGCCCCAGGCCCTGTGCTTTGCAGGGGGCCCGCGGAGCTGGGCAGAACAGCCATGGCCACTCCATGCTGCCACCAGCTTCACGTCCGGCTGCTCAGCACCCTCCTCTGCCCCCCCCCCCCCCCCCCCCCCCCCCCCCCCCCCCCCCCCCCCCCCCCCCCCCCCCCCCCCCCCCCCCCCCCCCCCCCCCCCCCCCCCCCCCCCCCCCCCCCCCCCCCCCCCCCCCCCCCCCCCCCCCCCCCAATCTGCTGCTAAATCTGCTGCCTCTGGCTGCTCAGCACTCCCCACCTCCACCCCCACTGCCAAATCTGCCGCCAGCTTCCTCGTGCCTGGGGATGGGGCCATGCACAGGCTGATTTGCCCCAGGCCCCGCACCCTGTTTGGGTTGCCTCTGCATATGGGCAATCATATGGCTGGTGTCATTGTTCTAAAGCCTCAATGAAATAAAGTGGACAGACTTTTTCTTATGCAAAGTCCTATGATTCACTAGAAATCACCCTCAGTTTGTAGCATAAAAATCATATTATAATAAGTTCTTAGCTTTGGACTTTGCATACCCTGTCAGTCCATCAGACCCTTCCTCAGTTTTTCATTCACCTAGCACACAGACCTCATCTCTGTCGTCTTGTTTATCTTGCCTTGCCTTCCTCTCAGTCTTCCCAGACAACGTGCTACTGATGGTGTAAGAACTTTCTCTTCTCTAGCTCTTGCCGACTGGAACAGCCTTTCTGTACCTTATCAGTTTGCCATTTCAACTCAAGATCTACCGTAAAAATATCTCCCTCTCTTTTGTCCTGTACTCTTCATTTCTTTCTTCCTACTCTTTATTACTTAACAGCGGAAAAGATTTCAGGATATTGTTCTTATGAAAGAAGCTTTGTTTTGCTTAGGTTTAATGCTACAGTTGAATTTGTATGGCTAGAAGCAGATGTCTTCAGTGGGCAATTGACTCTGCCACAACATGTTACAACACAGCTGATTATGCTCCAAGGACATATATAGATTAGGGCTGTGTGAGCTTCAGTTTCTGCTTGGATTCAGAGGAGATTTGGCCTGATTCGGTGGCTGAATCTCTCAAGTCCCAAGTAAATCAGGACCAATTAAAAGGTCCTAGTCGATTTGAAGATCTCCCAATTGATTTGGAGAGCTTTGGCAATTCGGACAGTCCCTGCCTGCTGCAGTAGGGAGCTGGACCCAGACTCCAAGCTGGTAAGTAGGGGGCAGGGGAGCAGGGCCTGGAGGAGGGGGAAGGAAAGCAAGTCCATGCTCACCGGGTGCTGCCAGGTGGGGTGATCCCCAATGCCCCATGCTGTGTGAAGGGTCTGTCATAAGCCCCCCCGACCCCCGCCTGTTCTTCCAGCCCCTCCCATGGCTGCCCTGCCCCCCCCAGCTCTGGCCCTTTAAGAACAAACAAACAAAAAAACCCTGACCTCACTGGCTCCTGCAGTAGCCTCGGGGTTTCTGGGGGCACATAGAAGAGCCCCCCCATGCAGCGTGGGGCAGTGGAGGGCAACAGGGATCGCCCCTCCCTGCCAGGCAGGAGCCGGTGAGTTCAGGGTTTTTTGTTGTTGTTTTTTTTTTAAAGGGCCGGGAGCTGAGGTGAGCAGGGCAGCCATGGTGGGGCTGGGAGAGCAGGCAGGGGTCGGGGGGCTCATGGCAGAGCCCCTCCATGTGGTGTGGGGCAGCAGGGATCGCTCCCCCCCTGGCCCCCCCCTCCTGCCTGGCAGCAACCGGGGCTTTTTTTTCCAAAAAGCCAGGAGCTGGGGCGGGTGGGCCAGCCATTGAGAGCAGGTGGGGGATGGGGCCTGTGTGATTCAGAGATTCAGCTGATTTGGGGCATGTCAGCAGTGGAGGGAAAACACCCCACTTGTAGATGAGCCCCCTCTGTTGGGGACCAGGAGAATCTCTTGCAGTGGATTTCCCTGCATTCTCTGCAAGCGTGGGTTGGGGGGACACTCAGACAGGGTTCCCACCCTCCACATTTGCAGGCATGTGTAGGGAAATCTCTCTGCAAAGGATTTCCCCTGACCGTGTCCACAAATGCAAAGGGAGGGGGGACCCACACTCTCCACTCCACACTTGCAGGTGCACCCGGAGAAATCCCCTGAGAAGGATTCCCCTGTGTACAGCATGGGCTGAGTGTCTGCAAGCAGGGAGCCCCCCATGCACCCCAAAGTCCTGAGGTGCAGGCACTCCCCAGACTTAAGGGGTCCAATCCTGCCCAGGAATTCTTGGGGTTTGCAGGACTGGGCATCTGAATCCCAAAGATCCTTTGCCTCAGGGAGGCTGAAGAGCCATGAGCAAAAGCATGAGCAAACACGTAAGCAAATGTACATGGGTTGCAATAAAAAGGTCTAGTTTGTTATTGTGTTCTGTTGTGGCCACAAATTGGAGCATTTATGGCATGACACAAGATATGAACATCTACTTGCTTTCACTCTGTGCCTACATAAAAATTCTTATGGTGGCACAAAAGTGACATCTACTTCCCCACTATGGGTCAACCTTCCACCTGCGTGAAGTCAGCTGCAAAACAGAAACCTGAGTTGCAGAAAACAGAAAAGCATGCTCTGCTGTAAAAGATGCCTAAACTGAATGCTAACAGTAGAGTGCCTATTATAGATGAAACATAAGTTAGGCTTATGTTTACAAGACTAACTAGGGGATCTGATTAGTATCTTTCAAAAAATCTCTGGGGATCTTTAAGAAGAGGCTTGATGACTACCTGGCTGGACCCATTTGAGTCCAGTCTTTTCTCCCACCAAGGTGGGGGGTCGGACTTGAAGATCTACCAGGTCCCTTCCGACCCGACTTCTATGATTCTATGGTCTTAATAATGAAAATACTGTTAGTTCTGTTTTATCATCCTCAATGCATCTTGTAGTTTCAATGGACAATGGTCTCTTTAATAATAAAAAGCAAGTGTAGTTACCTTGGAAATAAGGGTCGGGGAAACCTGATACTTCAGAAGAATAAAGTTAAACCTTAAGAAAATGTTGTGCATTTCAGAAAACCAAAGTTGGTTGTTGATGCTTCTTGAAGATTTCATGGACATGATAAAGCCAGATGAATGCTTTCAGAAGCAAAAAGACCAGCCAGCACAGGGTGTTAAAAACTCTGTAGTGCTCAAAATATATGCAGAAATTATTTTCCATTTCTTCTCCTGACCTAGTCCCATAAAGCTGGTCAAGGGCACCACTGTTCAAGAATACTAAGTTATTGAAATCTCTAGGCCAAGATGTTTTTGATTGATAACATTCCCCAAATAGTTAAGAAAATGTTCAGAAACTGAGACTACCTCCCTTTTTTAACCCCTTATTCTCAAACATCTTGTCTACTTCTCTAAAATGTGATAGGAAGTCTCCTGCCATAACAATTTGTATATGACATTTCAGAAGAAATTGGTTTTCCTGGATGTCAGCCTTATCTATATGTAGCAGTAAAATACTTCATGCATTTATATACATGTAATTGTATACATTTTTATGGCATAAGTTATTGAATAAAATATTAGAAGGAAAGATTGTCACAAATACAGTAATTTTAATCTTTCTCAGGTCTGAGTCTCCTGCAGCATCCTGGACTTAGCAGCTGGTTCAAAGATTGAAATGAGCTGGGCCAGAAGTTGATGTAGTAAACACACTTGAAGCAATTGGAGTCTACTGAATAGCAGAGCCATTAAACACCTTTGTTAATACTGATGCAGCGGCGCGGAGTCATGAGTACTAGGCGGGCCCTGCAGGAGGAGCCATGGCCACTCCGCCCGTCTCCACGGGGGCCCCCAAAACATGGGGCCCAGGGCAGTCACCCCAATTCGCCTCCACTCCTCCCCTGGGACAGCCCTGGCAGTTGTGCTGTTTTTTTCTGAAATTCTCCAATATAGACAAAGTTTTGTACTTTAGTTTCTAACTGTAACTTGCCTAGTTGTTAATGGTTTATGAAGAAATTAAAATTGCTACAGCTGAAAGTATTAAAATGTTAATCTGAGTATGTCATATTTTATGAACTGTAACTTGTTCCCCTTCTTTAAGCAATTAATGTAGTTATCAAAGTCCAGTTTAATTTCTCATGATGTGGTTTTTCAACAGACAGAGGATACAGAAGGATGAGAGAATGGAACTCAGTAAAGGAAATGGAGTCTGATCAGTAGCCTTGAAATTTTCATTCTCCTTGTCCACATAGAAGATGCAGAAGTGGTGTTTTGGGATTCATGTGTTCAGACCCTAGGTGTAAAAGGACATATTCCAAAGGTAATTTGTGTAACTTGTCACTGAATCTGCTACAATTGAAGGAAAGGGCTCAAAGGAGGAACTGAAGCGTAGAGTCATGTGGTAGAAGACCTATTTACCCAATGATGTAGCTCTTTAACTTTTATATTTCAGGTTCATGAACTGTTTTTAATATGATATATATGGGACTTGCCTGTGTTAGTGTTTGAAAACTCTTACTCTTGAAGAGTAAGGCTTGTCTTGTTAAGGCACTAGCCTGGTACTTATCAGCTCTACCTCAGCTCTTCTTCATATTTCTTGTGTTATCTAGGGGAAGTCATTTGATTGCTCTCTGCCCTGGTTCCCTTTTGTAAAATGGGGATACATGTGGGGACAGGACTAGGAGCAATGGTCTCAAGCTGCAGCAGGGGACATTTCAGTTAGAGATTCGGAAGCACGTTGAGAGGGGTCAGACATTGGAATGGGCTACGCAAGGAAGTTGTGGAATCTCCATCCTTGGTAATGTTCAAGAGCAAGATAGATAGACACTTGGCAGGGATGGTCTAGTCAGGAAGGATCCTGCCTTGAGCAGAAGGCTGGATTAGAAAGCCTTGTGAGCCCTCCAGCCCTACTTTCCTGTGATCCTGTGCTTCTGTTCCTCAGGAGCAAATGTTCAAATGAAAGCTGCATGGAAACCAGCTAGAGAGCTGTTACACATTTTCAAGCACTAACTTTGTATTTGGCTGGCTCTTTTCACACCCAGATAGACATTTTTATAGTGTGATAAAATATGGCTTGTCTAAACATATTGCATGATTGACCAGTGACTTTGTATCATGTATGTGGTGTGTGGTAGAGGCCTCAGAGAAGCATTGCAAAGATAAATGCCTTGTTTGTACCTGAATCCACTCCCTGCCCTCCAGAATGTTTACTTTGCCCCATAATTTGGTGTTGTCCACAAATTTGGACAGAGTGCTTTTCACACTCTCATCCAAGTCACTGATGAAGATATTGAACAGCACTGACCCAAGGACAAACCCTGGGGAACTCCACTGCCCACTTTCTTCCAGGTCGAACACAACCCATCCACCATCACCCTCTGTGCGTGCCCCATAAACCAAGTCTCCACCCACCTGACCATGTAGTAATCTGTCACAACTTAATTTGTTGATAAGAATGGGATGTGACTCTGTATCAAAGGCCTTTTAAAATCCAAGTAGATGATATTTACCTCAACTCCTGCATCTAAGCATTTTATGACCTGGTCATAAAAGGAAACAAAATTAGTCAGGCAAGCTTTACCTGCTATGAAGCCGTGCTGGTTGCCCTTCAGCATTATTTTTCCTGTTGGACTCCCACAAATGTGATCCTTAATAATTTTTTCAAAGGTTTTCCCAAGGATAGAGGTGACGCTAACTGGCCTATAGTTACCTGGGTCATCCTTTCTCCCCTTCTTGACAATAGGGGCCACATTGGCCCTTTTCCAGTCTTCTGGGACTGAGCACCATGAGTGCTCAAACAGCTGTGCCAGTGTCTCTGCTATGACACTGGCCAGTTCCTTCAGCACCCTTGGATGAAGCTCATCTGGGCCTGCTGACTTAACACATCCAGCCTCTCCAAATGCCCCTTCACTGGGTCAGTGCTTACTGTAGGTGGGTTGGAGTCCCTCTTGTGCCTGTCTATAGTCCCTTTGGGAGATATATCTTGATCCGTGTTCAGGAATACAGATGCAAAGTATTAAGAGCTCGTCTTTGTCCCTCCTATCTGTTACCAGTTGCCCTAGTCTGTCCTGTAGGGGTCCTATATTGCCATGTGCCTTCTTTTTTCTCCCTATATACCTGAAGGACTTTTTGTTGTCTTTAATTTTTGTTGCCAGCCTGAGTTCCAGTGCTCCTTTGGCCTTTCTGATTCCCTGCAAGTGTGAGCCAAGCAGATATATTCCTCCTTGGTGGCTACCCCCTGCTTCCACAACCTGTATGCCTCTCTTTTTCTCCCTAGGCTCTCTTGGATTTCCCTGTTGAGCCAAGAGGGTTTCTTGGGTCTTTTGCCTCCTTTTATGTGCAGTGGGATGGTCCAACCCTTTTGTGCCTGAAGGATCATTCCCTTGAGGAACGGCCACCCTTCCTGGACTCCCATCTCACCAATGCTCTTGCCTTTCAGTGCCTCACTTACTAATCTCCTGAGCTCGTTGAAGTTAGCTTTTCTGAAGTCTAGCACTTCAGCCCTACTAGTTATCTTTCCCACCTTTTGCCAGATAGTAAATTCTAACAATTGGTGATTGCTATCCCCTAGGTTACCCTGTATCTGTAGTTGTTCCACCTTTTCCAGAACTGCCTTTGTAAGAAGTTGACTCTTTTTTACAGTTATTTTTATCCTGTGATACTGACTTTGCAGGTATGGCTGGTCAAAAGAGAGGATTTAATAGCAGCCTTCCACTACCCGAAGGGGGTTCAAAAGAGGATAGGGCTGCACTGTTCTCAGTGGCAGCAGATGACAAAACAAGGCGCAATGGCCTCAAGTTGCAGCAAGGGAGGTTTAGGTTGGACATTCGGAAAAACTTTCTCACTAGGAGGGTGGAGAAGCACTGGAGCGGGTTAGCTAGAGAGGTGGTGCAATCTCAATCTTGGGAGGTTTTTAAGACCCAGCTAGACAAAGCCTTGTCCTGGATGAACTAGTTGGGGCTGGTCCTGCTCAGAGCAGGGGGCTGGTTGGACTGGATGTGACCTCCTGAGGTCCCTTCCAACCCTCATGTTCTGTGACTCCATGAAATGCGTGGCCTGATTTAACTTGTGAATGACGTCATGCATCTAACATGGGGCAGGGGCCACAAAACGAGCTGTATGGAAAAAATATATGATAAGATAACTCTGCTTCAAACTATTTTAGCCTTAGAGAGAACCCTTTTCTCGAGAGGACGGTCCCTAGGCCAGACACAGAAGCTCAAGCTTTGCTGCCGCCCACGGCAAGGCAGGGCAGACGAGACCGCTCAGGCGCCTGCGCGCGGGAACCGGGGCAGCCGAGGTCGCGCTGGGAGGGGCGAGCTGCAGCTGGGGACGGGGTAGGCGGGTCCTGGCTCTGTCACAAGTAGGGGAAGAGGCTGGACCGCTCCATCTCCCCGCGCGGCTGCGGGTTGCCTGTCCCCCGCTATTCAAGCAACGTTGGATTCTCTCGGCCTTCCCTCCCCGCCCCCGACTTGGTTTGGGCTCTGCCGGCTTCCTCTTCGCCCTTCCCTTCCCCCCCGGCTGGGTTTGGACTCTCCCACTTCCAGAGCCCAGGCCGGGGGTTGGTAGGGCGCGAGCGGTGCGTCACGTGGCCCGGCCGGCGGCAGCGGCGCGATGGCGGCGGTGGAGGACGAGGAGGAGCAGGCCCGGCCCGGGCCCGTGGCAGGGCAGGAGGCGGCCGGGCCGGGCTGGGGCCTGGCGCTGCTGCCTGGGGACCGCTTCTCGGCCTGGATGCAGTGTGTGTGCGTAGTGGGCTTCGACCTGGAGCTGGGCCAGGCCGTGGAGGTAAGCGGGGGGCGGGAGCCCTGCCTGTGCCCGTGCCTGCTTCGTAAGCTGTCATCTAGGCGGACATCTGAACATAGGGTTGCATCGAGGGAGGTGTGCAGCTATTCCTGCACTTCCGATTAGCTGGTGGGATTATTTCGTTTCTTCCCATCCAGCAGCCTGGTGAGATGCCTGACCGACCTGTCGCTCTTCATGTAGGAGCTGAGCTGGTTAAGAAGGCATTAAGGCAGGATAGTCAAACATGCTGTGATGCTGCTTCAGTCTTGGTTCAAGACAGCAGTTTCCAACCCAATGAGGGTTGCTTGGGCAATGCCGGCGGCACTGCACACAAAACAGGAGTGTGCTGGGAGCTCCTCCTGGTCTCTGCCACTGCCGTACTCTTCTCCCAGCAGCAGGTTGCAGCTAAAAAGGTTGGGAACAACTAGCTTAAGATGTAAAAATGCTTTTGTGCTCAGTAGAAGGTAATAGTGACTGAGGGAAATCAAGGCAGGCACTTCTAGAGGAAGTGGTGTTGGTGACTTAGTACTTCAGAGTTTCTATTACATAGATATCCACTGTGGGTTTAGAGCAGCAGTGTCAACCATGTTGCCCACAGGCTGAATCCACCCCATGGAGCTTCATAATTTGGCTCTGGGTGCTGCCCATTGACCCACATGCTGCACAGGACCAGCCCCTTACACGGTGCTGGGTCCTAGGTCACGTGGCACCCACTTGAGCCAGTGTCCCTGACTGGCCCAGGCAGGTGCCATGTGCGCTGTATCCAGCAGGTACATGTGTTCAGGGCTGCGTGGGGGGGAGGCGGCGAGGACCCTTTGCACACTGCTCTAGCCTTGGGGCCAGATGGGTTTGACATCCCTGCTGTGCCGTTTTAAGTCTTGTATTTTTCACCTGTGAGGTCTTGATTCTTATGACTACTACATTTCTGTGTCTCTTTTTTGCAAGATTAGAAGACAGAATTTTAGGGGTACATTGATAGAATTTTGCGGGGGGCTGATACCAATAGCCAATTTTTATGGAGGCATGTCGGCTGATACAGATCCGATTTCTGACAGATATACTCCTCCTTGGTGGCTACAAACATACTGATACAGCTGTGTCCAGCTGGTAAGTCTGTTGTGGTGGAAGGGGGGGGGGCAGATCAATGCCCTCTGTGGTGAGGAAGGGAGTGGGGTAGGGGATGGGGTGGGCACTGCCCAGAGCCACAGTTTGTCTGGGTGGGGGGCAGCGCCCACCACTGTGTGCACCCCAAGAGGGCACTGGAGGGGGGGTGCCCCCCTGGATCTGCATGTGGGGGCAGGGGCTGCAGCTGCAGGCTGGGGCCAGGGCTGTGCTGGGATCTTCCTGGCACTTAGTGGGGAGGGAGCTGGGGCAGGGCTGTGTTTGGGGCAGGTGGCAGTGGCACTGGGAGGTGGGGCTATAGCAAAATTTGGGAAGGCTGCAGCCCCTCTGCCCCCATTGCCTTCCTCCCAGTGCCTCTGTTGCCCGCCCTGAGCGCAGCCTGGCTCAGCCTCCTGCCGCAAAAATCCAGCACAGCTCACAGCTGCAGTACCTGCTGTGCAGATCCAGGGGCACACCATGCCTTCACCCCTGCCCCCGGTGCCCTCCCTGGGTGTATGCAGCAGTGGGAGCCGCCCCCCAGATGAGCTGTGGCTCTGTCCCGTGCCCTGTCCCACCCCAGCTGGGCAGCGCCTGCCCCACTTCCTTCTTTTCCACAGGTGGTGTTGATCTGCACACCCCACATGCCCTTTCTGTTCCCCTTCCACCACGACAGACTTACCAGCTGCACG